GAGAGAGAGAGAGAGAGAGAGAGAGAGAGAGAGAGAGAGAGAGAGAGTCCACTCCTCTTTGGTCCATTCAACAGGTCTTCAATAATTAGTCTTTTCTTTAACTCTCACATACAAGCAAGTAATTTTTTCTTTATGTTTTTTTTCCATTTAAATATTTACACTTTCTCCTCTCCTCTCATTCCCCTCCTGCTCCCCCACTCACCCTCCTCCCTCCCCCTCCCTCCATAAGAGAGGGCAGGGAACCCTGCCCTGTGGGACGTTCAAGCCCCCCCTGCTACATCCAGGCCTAGAAAGCTTTGCATCCAAATAGACTAGGGTTCCAAAAAGCCAGTATGTGCAGAAGAAACAAGTCCCGGTGCCTTTATCAATGGCTTCTCAGTCAGCCCTCATTGTCAGCCACATTCAGAGAGTTCCGTTTGATCGCATGCTCATTCAGTCCTGGCCCAGCTGGATTTATTGAGCTCCCATTAGAACAGGCACACTGTCTCAGTGGGTGGACCAACCCCTCCTGATCCTGACTTCCTTGCTCATCTTCTCCCTCCTTCTGCTCTTCAACTGGACCTTGGGAGCTCAGTCCATTGCTCTGATGAGGGTCTCTGTCTCTATCTCCATCTGTAGCCGGATGAAGATTCTGTGGTGATATTTGAGATAATCATCAGTGTGATAGTGGGGCAAGGACAGTTCAGGCACCCTCTGCTCTGCTGCCCAAGGACTTAACTGGGGACATCCCCATGGACACCTGGGATCCCCTCTAGAGCCAAATCTCTTGTCAACCCTAAAATGGCTCCCTTAGTGTAGATATCTTCTTCCCTGCTCCTATATCTGCCCTACCTCCATCTCCACCCTCCCACTCCCCCAAGCTCTCTTCAATCTTTCCTTTCTCCCTTCTCTCTCCCCCTCTCCCCCTCTCCCCTTCCCCCAACCCCACTCCCATCCCCTACCCCCACCCCCATGCTCCCAACTTTTGCCCAGCAATCTTGTTTGCTTCCAATTTCCAGGAGGCCATTAAAGGCTAGGCTCACAAGCAAGTATTAAAGACACCAATTAACGCAGACGACCCTGTTTGCTTATTTGTAAATTAGAAAGCTTTGCTTCCACATCAAGTATATACCCATGCAAACACAGGGACCCCCAGGCATTGAGTTTTGATGTGTGGAGTAAGTGGATTTGCCTACTCACCTGAAACAGGTCCTCTAGGAGGCAGTTCCACAACCGTCCTACTGTCTGGCCAATTTCAGTTCCTAGAAAAATGGATGCCCCATAAGATGAAGTGTATCCAGCCTAACTGGAGTGACTGAGGCAACGCCTCTTCTCCTGATCCTAGCTGACGCCACACTGTGTCTATTCAGGAACTTTTCAGACCCTCATTTCCCAGTCATGTCTGCCTTGGCAGCACCTTGAGAATTTCCTATGACCCTAACCTCGGCCCAGACATACAACTAAAACATCTGTCAAATAGGTAGGCAACACAATGTTAGCTTGTTCCCGAGACCTGAGCCTGACAGTGACGCCACTATTGATTGATGTTTTGCCTTTAACAAATGCTGCTCTCCAGAGAGGCAGCACCAAGACTATTTTTGCATCGTTATCCTGTACTTGATCACAGGCCTAAATAAAGGACTCTACTTTGGGGGACTAATTCGGCCATATGTGCCTGGCAATCTGTAACTTTCCTGCCTGGATCATAACAAAACAATAGATGTGAGTTTTATGAGGAAAGGATGAATAAGAAACGTAATCGTTTGAAGTTGAAGTGAAGAATTCAATTCATTCATTTTTAGCAGTTAAAAAACCTGAATTCTTACCACGGTTCAGACTCTGGAAGACGCTAAAAGCTTTGCCTACACCGTCTCTCAAGTATATTAAATTCTCAGCAAAATATTACCTGGAAATTATTGACAGTAGAGGCCATAAAACTTAGAAGGAACAGAAAAGGACAGTGAAGCAGTCGAGGACATGAGAAGTAGTGACCAAACTCTCACAGACTAAGCTCTCTCTTCTGAGGAGGATTAGCTCAGCTGCGACCACACATCCTCAGCCCTCCCTCTCTCTCTCCGCGCTTTTCTTGACATCCCTAGAAGTTTCACAGACCCAAGAAAGTGCAATAGCCAAACGGGATACGATTTGGTCATTTGGTGGCCTTAGTCACTTTTTAGTTTAATTGGTCCTCCCCTCAAAAAGTCTAAAGTGTCCTTCATATGTCAAACATGGCATTAGGGATTCAATAGTTTACCAGAGGCACCTGTTTTTGTGCCGTGGGGTATCCCCTAGTAAGACAGCGAGACCTGTGGGTTGGTAAAGGGCACAGAGATAAACCGCTCTGGAAATGGTTTCAGAAAACAGTGTCTGCACTGAGCAATGAGCAACCACGTAGACAGAGCAACTGCACATGCGCAGTCACTTACATAGCGGAAGCTACGGACTGTGTGACCCGTCAGCACATCACCTCGAACTGGATGGTGAGCACTCATCCCAATACACTGCTCTCTGCAGGAAAAACACACGAAAGGAGATAGGAGAATACGCCCTCATCTGCAAGCCAGCTTCCAGTTACTCAAGTTACTTCAGAATTCAGCGTTCTGATTTCAGGCGTGTGTCATGCTTCTTACTTAGAAGTGCAGTGTGCCAAGTAGGCTGGCCTCGAGGTCACGCCTGCATTTGCTACTACATTTCTGCCCGTGGGCTGTTCTAGGGAAGGGGAAGTATACAAAGTTTGTAAGTTGTCTTGCAACAGGGAAGCTACAACGGCAAACACACCAGTGTGACCGTGGAAAGAAAAATAGTGACACACAGCCCAAAGGTGCCAAGCGGGGAGCCCAGAAGGTTGGTGAAATATGGCTGGTTATTTTCTAAAACAAAACCTTGACATTTTGGAATAATTATAGATTTATAGGAAAGTTACAAAAATAGTATCCAGTGCCTATGCATCCCTGAGACACTTGTCCCCAGTATTGACATCTTACATGGCCATGGCCCTTTGTTAAAACTAGGGGATTTACAGGGGTGTAACACTTTAAGGTTTAATCATTTATAGTTCATCGTGTTTAAACATCTGCTTCCTATTCTAGGACCAATTTAATGTATTATTAATTTTGACGAAGGTGTAAACGTGATTAAATGAAGAAAAATAATCTCCCCTCTCTCTTCACAGATGGTAACAGAACAAACAGAAACACGCAAAGAAGAGCAGACCTAGACGGAGCGCCACAGCTTACGTGGAGAACTTGATGCAGGGCATAGATGAGAATGTAAGCTGTGAGTCCTCCAAATTCTGAAGAAAACAGGTCTTGGTGTCCTGAGACTAGGTAGGATGGTCTTCAGAGCAAACTGTCAATGAAAACATGGATGCATGGAAGTTCATCAAAATTAAAAATAGTTCTTTTCAAAAGACATGGCTAAGAAAGTGAAAGGAATATTTTATTATTTTTATTAATTAATTTTGTCATTTATTTTACATACCCACCAAAGTTTTCTCTCCTGCCTCTCCTCTGGTTCCTTCCCCTATCCCATCTACCCACCTTCCCATCCACTCCTCCTCCAACTCTGTCTCCTTTCAGAAAGGGCAGGCCTCCCATGGGTGTCAACACAGCGTAGCAATCAAGTCGAGGCAGGAGAAAGGAATATTTTAAATGGCATAGCCTGCAAAAGGGCATATCAAAAGTACAGGCAGAAGTCTCAAATTTTTAAAGCAAGAAAACCAATTACCCAAATTAAAACAAAAGCATACACATAAAGCCATGAATTGCTCAGAGAGTTCAGTAAAGAGAGTATAGATTTAGAAACTACGATGCTCAACATCCTTAGCCCTCACAGGAATGCACACCAATGTCATGGGCTACCTAGCAGAGTGATTAAACTTAAAGACAACGACATTCACAAGGGCCAACAAGGAGGAAGGTGTAAACACACACAGTGGAATATCCTGAAAGACAGCCTCCTCTGTTTACAAAGTTAAAATGAATGCATTATGCCAGCCAGCAGTCCCATTCCTGGGCATTTTACTACAGATTATGGCTTGGCAAACAATGGCCAACAGACCATTGGCCAACAGGGCTAACCCACTGCCTATTTTGTACATAAATGTTTATCGGAGCTCAGCCATGTGTTTGACCTGTTTAGTGCCTATGCCGCTTTCACACTGCTTAGTCCTTGTCTTATTGATGGTTCAATATGACTTACTGGATTTATGATTGCAGAAACTGTGCTTGGTACAGACCACACACACACACGCACACACACACATACACACACACACACACACACACACACACACACGGGACTTTGAATTTTGTATCTTTTCACAGCCTCTTCATTTGTAGCAAGTGCTCTTTGAGGCTGAATGGCAGCCTCAGGCTAAAGTTCCAGTTAACAACCAATATTCCACTGAACAGTTTGCTGCTAAATTAGCATATTTGGAAAATTAAGTGCAGTAAACACTGTTGTGGTTAGAATATAAAATGCTCTCCCCTGTGGGCTGGTGTGTTTGAACTCTTAGTTCCCAGCTGATGGTGCTGTTTTGGAAGGTTGTGGAACCTTTAGAAAATGGAACTGGCCCTACTTCCTGTCTGCACAGGAAGAAGGAGAGGCGTCCGGACTCCAACTGCCTACCACCACAGAGCTGCTTGCGGCCCTGCCTTCCCCTCCAAGAACAGCAGGGTCCCCTCAAACTGACAAATCAAGTCAACCCTCCCTTCAGTTGGCTCTTGTTGGGGTATTTGATCCCACACATCAACAGAGAAGACACTAATATAAATGCATTTCTAGCTTTTCAAAGTTTTAACTGCTGGTAGCTCCAAGTCCATAGTGCAGCAAGGCATAGCTGTGGTCGCAACACAGGCTGTACACTCCACAGTTACTATTTGCCTGCTACAGAGTTGACATCTTGCTTCAAAGAAATGATCACATACACACACACACACACACACACACACACACAGAGAGAGAGAGAGAGAGAGAGAGAGAATGCATACAAATAATCATCAAAAATGCACCAAACACCCTGTATGGTATGGCTAATCAGAACATGACATATACGTTTAACGATAATTTTTAAAAGAAACTTTTTAAAAAGAGAACAAATATTAATATAGACTAAACCCTGGAGAGTCTCAAGAGAATTTTACCAAGAGGAAGAAGCCAGTTTCAAAAGATTGCAAGCTATCGATAAATGCAGGTTTAGAAAAGATGAATAGTCAGTAACAGGTGGTCACCAAGGGTTCTGGGTGGTGAAAGGACATGCTTATCAAAGAAAGAGCATAGGGGGTGTCTATGAAGTCATAGAGCTATTCTGTATCCTATCTGTAGCCATGACTTCATGACTCCATATACGTAGAGAACTCACCTGCAATATATCGTGTGTACTCTAGGCTCAGGCACAGGTGTGGTTTTTGGCAGAGCCTAGAGTGCGCGTGCTATATTTCAGATGCGTTCTCCACACTTCCACACAGACAGACTTATACTTGACTTGAACGTTACTATCACTACCCCAAAACTGGGACACATTAGACTGGAAATTGTTTGCCCATATTTTGTAACCAAGAAAACAGAAGCAAAGAAGGCTAGTTTGAGCAATTTCCCCAGAGTTACAGGAGAATGCTTACAGAACTTACAGAACGAGATTCTAGAGCTGGATTCTAGAGTTCTTTCCAGTACGCTTGGCCTTGTTAAGATAAGGAATGGGGGAAAAAAAATAAGGAATGGAGGTATTTGCAAAGTTGATTTTTTCTAAAGTGTAGCTGAGAAGGAAACCTCATTGATAACTGCTGCTTTTCTGAGTACAGAGTATAAAGCCACCTGCTAATTTGCTGAGCTCTGCAGGGTCAAAGGTCACAGGCTTTATTCATCAACTCAAGGTCATTTGAGAAGTCCATCATCTTATAGACCACAGCAAATCAACTCTTGAGGGCTCATTGTTCTTAAAGTAGGAAGTTGGGTCATCTAGATAATCAGTTCTGACTTATTTAGTATGACTTTTAATGTTTTTTTAAAAAAATGCTCTCAAATTACTCATTAAATTTAGTCAGCGTGCCCTTACTATCTTTGATTTTCATTGTCAGTCCCCCGCCCCCGCCGTCTTCGCAGACTTACATCTGAACGTGTTTTTCACAGAATATTTAAATCTTGGATTAGCGTAAGTCCCTCACACATGAAGCAGCAGACACTCACACAAATAGTCAAGTCTGTTTGAAGACATGAAGGAGTCGTATAGTGTCACCCAACAAACCTAGATGCTTTTAATTTGATTAGAAAATTAAAAGAGAAAGAAGTGCAAGTGTAATTAAAAGACTACATAGAAAAAATGAAAGCATCTAGGAGACTTTTATTAATCACTGCTCCCCGCCTCTGGACTCCTCTCTGTCCCCTTCTCCCATACCACCCAGAAAGGAGAACAGATAAATGGGGAACAGTCTGGGAAGGGTAATTTCCTGAGTGCTTAAGAGAGAGCAGGTTCGCTCCACAAGCTAGCTGCACAATCAAGAGATGTGTGCATCGTGAGCCAGACTGACTGTAATTCTAGCTCACTGCTGCTCTGAGGGTGCCGAATGTCTGCAGCTTCCCCTGGGCGAATGATTCAGCACCTTCCACATCAAAAGGCAGCGATGACTGAAACTTCATTCTGTGTGATCAGATTATTGCTGCTGAGTCAAAAGGAGATAGGGTGCTGCATGTGTCTGTCAGAGTGCCTCTGCTTGGGTTTTCTTTTTTTCAGTGGGATGCTTATTTTTTGCATGTGCACATTTTCCTTTACCTTCTTATGTAGAGACTATGCAAGATACTGGCTCATTATTTCTCATTCTGACAAGATATTGGTTCATTATTTTTGACTCTTGTGACATCTGTTCATTTAATTCACCCTTGAGGGCCTCTTTCCAGTCATTGCTAGAGGTAGAAGCAGAGAAGAATAACACAGAGAGAATGATTTCTGGTTTTAATTTTAATGGCAACTGCCAGCTCTTTCCCTGCTCAATTATTTTCCTTGGAAATAATTCCTGAGTGCCTAGTTTCAGGAGGAAACTCTCAGCAAATAAACAGAATATCAAGTTTGTGTTCATGTGATGAGATGGTATGTATTAATGAGTCTTGTTACCCAGACTTACGATGTATAAGGAAAGGAGTTAAAATTTACTGTTATAAGTTCCCTGGATGAACTTAGATTTCACACAGATATGTAAAGTTGCGTGTGTGTGTGTGTGTGCATGCACTCAAGGGAAAATGAGATGAGTTCCCTGTATATGATATGGTATGATACTCAGCCAACCAACATAGGACCATTGTTAATTTGATGGCTATATGTGGTCAGATGTGGCAGCAATAACAGATGTAGATGATGCTAGGTTATGAAAAGATAACAAATGACATGAGATATAAACTGCTGCTCTTTTTCCCATGAAGGATTTTTGGAACATCTGTAATATACTAGGTGCCAAGACTCCAATAACAGAAAGGCCAAATCCCCACCTTCCCGCAAGACTTATTCTCATGTACAAAGAAACAAGATAATGACAGTGATTGCTGCCATCAAGGGAACTAATAGAAAAATATGAAGAAGAATAAGAAAGAATGGATGATGTTGTGGGTGGGGCTATTTTAGACAGGATGGTTATTCTGAGATGTCTCTACTGATAGGAAGATGGGAGAGCTGGCTATGCAGGAAGAGTATTACAGACACGGAGAGCCAAGCATGCAAACCCAAAGCACAGCTTTGCTGGGGCCACAAAAGTGGGAACAAGCTGGTTGAAATGTGGAGAGCCAGAGACGTGGATATGCAGTGAGACCGATGCCATCCAGAGATGTGTTGGCCAGAGGAGGGGCTGGGATACTGAAAGAGCAATGAGAAAGATTTTAACTGAGATGGATCTGCCCTCTGCCATCAGCACATTCTGGCTGCTGGAACTAGAGAGAATCTGAAGAATTTCGCAGGAGAGAGGAAACAGGGACAGCTATTAGCAGACAACTGAGTCATCGGAGAAAGCTAGGCGGCAGTTGAGATGGAGTGTGGTGGGTAGACGCATGATATAGAACCCTAAAGAACCCATGTGCCTGCTGGATGTGAAGGCAATGGGGATTGAAAGATGGCTCCTGGCTCCATTCTGAATTACTTTCAGCTGATGCTCTAAGCAGTGAGGGTGCCTTCTTAGGATAATTTGAATGTTATGGTAAGTACAATGACTGTTCTTGCTGAAGAGAAACGGTCTCAGGATGATTGCAATGTAAATGTTATGAAGCCAAAGTCAGTGTTTGGCTGTGCAGTCTCAGGCCTGAACCTGCCCCTCTGAGAGCCTCTGACCACTGTCGTCTGAGCTCCAGCTTCCTTGGGGATAGTGGTTGTGTTGATGGAAATGGCCGTTCCCAAGGACGAGGACACGAGAGGAAATGAGTCAAATGCCATCAGTGGAGTTCTCTCTCTCTCTCTCTCTCTCTCTCTCTCTCTCTCTCTCTCTCTCTGCTCCCTTGTCTTCAGAGTCCCTCCTGACTGGAGTTCTTTCTCCATCAATTCTTTGTACCTTAATGTCAGGACTCCAGAAGGGCCCATGCAGGAAAAGGGGTAGCCTAAACTGTTACCAGCAGAGGGCAGCATGGAGCCACATACTCATGGCCCAATACCTGAGGCGCTTAGTCCCTTGGGGAGCGGGCAAACCAACCCACTAGTGAAGTAAAGCTGTGTGGGGAGCCAGTGGAGAATCATTGCTACCTAAGCAAGCCGTGAAGGGAAATGCCCTTTTCAGTCAAGATACCAAGAAAAGCACGCCATTGTTGCTGCCCAAATGACGAGCCCTCAGTTGAAGTGTGGACTGCCCTGTCCAGAGAGCAGATAAAGTTTCCTTCTCCTCTCCAGTTACCACATATGAAATACTGTGACCCTGGCTCTGACAGATGGCTGTATAAATCATCTCACCTCAGCTTCACAGCTGCCCCGTGAACTCTGTCCTTGGTCTTGTCCTTGTCATACGCATGAGTAGGTAATTACTGAAGATCGTTGGTGCAGGGTACTAACTACGAAAGTTTTGTTTAAACAGAAAACCTCCCCGGAGGCTGCTACACATTGCGCATGACTTTCCCGCTGTTTTTCTGGATCCTCCAGGCACTCAAAGGGAGGACTGCATATGTTTTATATAGAGAACTTGGCTCTTATCCCTTAACTATATTCTTTCAGAGTGGACTGCATAAATTAAACAGTGAAGGAAGCATGTAAACACGTGTGTATGACCCAGAGCACAACAGCGTGAGAAAACTGTCTTTACAACTCTCTACCACCAGGACTTTTCACTTGTGCCGCACAAACCACTGTGAGCAGAGTCGCCTTCTGGGGTAAAAAAGATGCATGAGAAACAGTAAGGGGCAATCACATATCTGTCGTTCACTTGTTTGTTCGTTCATTCATTCATTCACCACTCCTAAGTACTCTACCTGTCACAGGCACAGGATTTCACACAGAACATTATAGTTCCGGCCTCAGAAAGGGTGTAGTCTAGTTTGGGTGGTGAAAACAGTAACAACAACAACAACAACAACAACAACAAAAAAGACACACATGAGGGAGTGCTATTTTATGTTCGGCAAAAGATGGGTCCAGTGGTTATCTACTATCCCCGCATCCTCTGCTCTAAGCCAGTAGGTTTCTTATTCTCTCTTGAGCCTTATGGCCTCCAGCTCCAGTCCTGCCACTAGGGAATTCTATTTCAAACATATCTTCCCTTCTGTGCCACTGACATTTTCAAATTCTCCAGTCCCGCCCTTGAGAACATCGGTCCTTAGCTCCTAGCCAGCTCTTCTCTGCTCAGACTAGATCCTTTCTTGCCTGTTCTAGACTCCATGGCATGCCAAGTTTTCAGCCATGAAGTCCTGGTCTGTCTCTATGCCTGCTTCGACAAATCCCAGCTCCCCTACTCTCCTCCCTTTTCCCCAGCACTGGCTTGGTGGTCAGTGATCCTCTGCCATGGGCCCCGAAAGATGCTGCACAGACCTTTTAGGGAGACCTCACTCTGTTTCGTTCTCCATGGGCCCAGGCCAAGTTTTTTCTATAGTTTTCAACCCCTGAACCCAATATTTCCTCTCCACCAATCCTTAGCAAACTAGATAAATGGGACATCATCACCTTCTATTGTCTTCATCTCCAAATAAAACATTTTTCCTCCCTTCCTTTTCTTCCTCTTCCCTTCCCTCTCTTCTCTTCTCTTTCCTTACCATTCCTTTCTTCCCCTTCTCTTCTGATCTCTAAGTAAAGAGCACAGTTTCTTGTCCTTGTAGGCATTCCTTGACAAAGCCGAAAGCCCGTGAGAAGGATCTTGTAGAGCTGGCCCACTCCTTTATGCCCACCAGCCTGTAATCCCACAGCATCCAACAGGTATGTATTGAGCACCAACTGTGTTCCAGCTTCATAGCTGGCACCAAGATAGCACCCTCTGAACAAGAGAAGCATGTCAGTAAGACTGGGGCATCACAGGAGAAAAGACTGTCTTGGTACAAGGTAAGGCCAGAGAGACATGATCCCTACTCTGCAGGAATGCTCCTGTTTTGAACATATTCCAAAACGTATTCCAAAAGAGTGAGGCTAAGCAGAAATGTAGTCAGATCTGAAATTTCCCCCAAACCTACTTGTCTCTTGTGTGGGTAAGAGGACCAGGTAAGAATGGCCCAGGGTGGGGTGGGAAATAACAGTTAAGGCTGAACCCTGGAATGACCCTGGAGACAAGGAATGACTTCCTGAGCATGTAGCTCCTCCCTGAGTTCCAAATCCCCTTCTTCCTCAGCAGTCGCTGGACTTGGTGACTCTACGCATGCTCAGAAGCAGCGCATAGCTCCAGCTGGTGCTCCCTCTACAATCTGTCTCATGCCGAGCACCTCGTGCCCCTGCTGCCTGCCATGCTCTAGCTGCGATGAACTGCCCTCTGTACCCTGGATATTCTGACATGCTCCCCCTCCAGGCTTTTGGTCAAGCTGTTCGCTCAGCCTGAGTGTCCCTCTCATTTCTCGGTTTGCTAAACTGTTCTAGAAAGTTCACTTCAATAAACAGATGGACTAGTTCTTCTCAAAACTTTGTGAATATAACTTCTTCTGTCATGATTGCAGGGTTTCCAGTCATCAGTTCCCACTGCCCCCTCTACTGCATCTTGTAAGAAAGAGGACATGTTTCGTCTGAATTTTTATCCTCTTCTTCAACCCCATACTGCCTGTGCAGTGGGAAAGATATCTTAGTGGAAGTTAAGTGTTCATTGTATCAAATCACACAGAATCCAGTTCAGTCCATAGTAATCTATTCTAGTCCAAAACAACTCAATTTAATATCTGTATATTAGTTAATTCCTTTACAGGTTATGAAAACTATTGCTTACAGTTTTATTTCATTGTGTCCTGCTCCCACCACATAGCGGGCACTTGATATATGCAGAATGGTTGGTTAACATAAAATAGATCCTTGTGTTTCCCTCATTTTAAAAAGGGATTGGAGAAATGGCCCACTGGTTAAGAGCATGTGTTCCTCTTCTAGAGGACCTGGGTCTGATTCTCAGCACTCACATGGTAGGTAACTGCCATCTGTAACTCCAATTCCAGGGGAACCAGCATCATCTTCTGCTCTCTGGGGGCACCAGGCACTCTTGTGGTCTGCATGCAGGCAAAATACTCATATGTAAAAGTGAAAGATTTTTAAATCTCTAAAAAAATTGATTTAATAGAGGGCATTAAGTGTTTCTTGAGCCAAATATGCAATATATGTGAAGCCTGAACATTATAATGCTATACAATTAAATTTTCAGAAACTGTAATGTGGACTTGTAAAGAATTCGAGTCCATGTCTGTTAGGATACGTGAGCTGAGGCGAGCATGCATACAAGCAGCAATATACTGCCCATGCTATTGCTGACAGACAGCTTTCAGAAGGAACAAAGTTAATCCTTACTGAGAGGGAGGCTACAGGAAAAATGACAGAGCCTGAGAAACCATAGAAGACCTCCTTCCAAACCTCTGCATCCCAAGGGAATCTCCAGAGAGACTCCCAGCAGAAAGTGGCCTCCGTGAACTTCGTTACTCACAGGCATCACTACAACTCCAGATGCATTAGAGGCCCTAACACACTGACTTCATGGGCACTGCATTCTGGGGTTCTGTAGCATGGCTCAGTCTGCCCCAGCACTCTTACCTTTCAGGCTATTTCTTATACAATAGAACTATCCTTATAAAGAGCATCAAATATGTTTCTTGTAATAGAATGAGTATAACATAAAGTTTATCTTTTAACCATCTTGAATGTAATTCGGTGTCACTAAATATATTCCAAAGGCTGTGCCATCAACACTGCCCTTCATCTTCAGCACACTCTCACCACCCTCCAATTAAACTCTGTGACCCACTGTACTATTTTTAAATAGTAAAAGATATCTCCTAGCGGCACGAAGGGTTTTTAAAGCTCTAAGAAGTGTGTGAAACAAATAGCATAATCTCTCTGTTCTAATCTGTATCTACTTTTTACTAATAACTGCTGAGTAATTGCTGGGAATTTTTCGTGTGCCTAAAACATTCATATCACATTGATAAGTTCATCGAAATATTTTAGTTTACAAAAATCATGCCGCAAAATGCATTGTTTCTTTTTTTTTTTTTCCACAGACATTCTCCCGTGTTCAGTTTATGACCTGCTCCTTTTGCTATCTGCATAGTACTTTCTGGTACAAATATCCTCTACTTTAACTAATGCCCTAATGATAGATATTGCTCTGTCTTTATGGATTTTCTTTTTCACTTTCAGAAGCAGAGTTACAATAAAAAGCCTGGTGCCCTCAAGTAAGCATTCCTGTGGGACACGCTTCTAAAGGTTAAATTCTTAAGTATAAATATTTGTACATTTTTAAAAAGTTGATGTGTACTGACTCCCACATCAGCCTGTGCAAACATAGCAGCTGCTTGTCTCCCAGGAGGCTGATGTGGAGAAAGGCACTGGGCTTTGGCCATCAGGAGTTCACATGCTGGTGTGGACTGGTGGAGTTACTTCCCTCTCCGAGAGGATGCTGGATGCTCTCAGAGGCAATGCAAACAGAAAATAAAGGAAGCATCCAGGAAAACAGTTGACTCATCAGCCTTGGCAGCTTGCCTCTGTTTGGAAAGAATGGAAGAAGCAGGGGCTCAACTGTGGGTGCCTCACTTCCTATGAGGCACGAGGTGTGAGTTCTAATCGCTGACATCATCTTCCTCAAGTTGAGCCTTGTCCTCCCTCATTCCCACAAAACGCTGGCTGTCCAGGCTGATCCCCGCTATAGTGTCAATGTCCCTGAGAGAAGAGCTGGATCTCAGATGCACATCATGTGCAGCTTCATCAAATTCAGACTCTTCCAAATCTGCAGAGGGATAGCTAAGAAGAATGGCCTAGAGCTGGGAGTGTAACTCAGTGGTGGAGCACTTGCCTAATATTCAATATTCATGCAGCCCTAGTATGGGTCCTAAGCGCATACACACACACACACACACACACACACACACACACACATCAGAGAGATAGAGAGTTAAGAATTGAACTTAAAACTTCTCAGTCTACTCTGTGCTTAGTGTTAGCAAACTAGAAAGAAGAACAAAACTGTCATTGTGTGAGGCAAAGCACATTTGTGGTGTCGCTAGAGATTAGTACTTGTAGCAAGGCACATTGCCTTGATGTTGACATAATATAAATTTATATTCATTTTAAAAACATAATTTCAAAATTTGGATCTGGAGAGATGGCTCAACAGGATGGGCAGGGGCTGGTCTCCCAGAGGACACAGGTTCAGTTCCCAGTAACCACATAGGGGCTCATAGCCATCTAGAACTCCAGTTTCAGGAGATCCAGTGCCCTTTTCTGGTTCCTGTGGACAGCAAGCACACATGTGGTATACAGACCTATATGTAGGCAAAACACTGATAATGCATAAAAATAATTAAAATTTAACAAATCGTGTAATCCATTTAATTTCCCAGTAAAATGAGTTGTTTTAAGGAAGAAACTAAGAATTTCTAAGACTTAGAGAGGCATATTTTGTCAATAAAAGACCATGCTGAGTCCTGTGAAAATCTAATCACACAGGCTACATTAATCAGAGGGCAATCAATCATATATACA